CTGATGGGGTGGAGAGTTCCTTGCTGAAGGTCTGAAGCAGTGGTTTAGGGAGAAGGGAATACAGCACAGAACCACCAATCTGGCTTGCCCAGCCGAGGATGGTTTGGCTGAGAGAAGAATTGACATGATCAATCAAATGAGAGATTGCATGCTGGAAGATGCTGGGCCACTACCAAATTTGTGAGCAGAAGCCACAAAGGTTGCATGCCATACCATCAACAGGATGTGGTGCAGTGCAATCCAGCAAACACCATACTTCTTGTTGCATGGTAAAGCACCAAATCTCAAGTATTTGAGGGTTTTTAGACAATTTGCCTCAGTACTTATTCCTCCTCATTTCCAGAGGAAGAACGAACCAAAGAGCCAGAGGCTGCGGTTCATGGGCTACAAAGGGAATAGCTACAGATTCCTATTGGGTGGTGGCAGAATCCTGTACTTAATGAGTGCAAGATTTGAAACACATGCTGGATGGGAGAAGATCCATGCCAACCATGATGTTTTTGTGAAGTTGGGAAACATTGGTAGAAACATCAGAAATGGAGGGGTGGATGCTTCCAGAAATGTGAAGGAGGAGCAATCTAGCACTTCTGTGAACACACACACACACAAACACACATACAAACCAAAGCAAGAACCAATTTGTTTTTGGCAAACAACACCAGACCAGACATCAGTTTTGCAGTAGGGATACTGAACAGGAGAGCTGCGAAGCACAGACTAGTGGACTGGATGGCATTGAAGTGCATTGTGAGGTACCTGAAGGGCACAAAGAACAGGTGATTGGTAATAACAAGAGGAATGTCAGAGCTGGAAGGTTTTGCTGACAGTTCCTTTGTATCTGAAGCTGCTGATAGGAAGTCAGTGACTGGACTGATCATCAGTTATGCAGATAGCCCTGTCATCTGTAGGTCCACAAACCAAAGCTGCATTGCACTTAGTACAATGGAAGCGGAGTTTGCCGTGTTGTCAGAGGTTGCAAATGAGGTGCAGTGGGCTATGCAGATGTTGTAAGACCTAGGAGAGAGCTGTGGTAGAGCAGCTGTGATGAATGAGGACTCTCAGGCATGCATTGGCATGGCAGAGTAGGAAAATCTGAAATGTAGAACCAAGTACATTGCTGTGAGATACCAGAACACGAGAGAGCTTGTGAAGAATGGGATACTGAAGCTGCAGTATCTTGGTTCAGAGGACAACATAGCTTGACATTTTCACAAAGCCTCTTCCTGTGGAATGCCATGAGAGGTTGGCTAGCAGGCTAGGTATCAGCGATTGAGGTCTACATGACAAATGGAACAAATGCAAGAACACATGGAACACATCACATGTCATTTTGGAGGGGATTGTCAAGACTATGTGAATTGCTGGTCTATAAAATGACATGGATGTGGCCACTGAGAGGAACTGGGGCAATGGTGATAAGTTCAAGTGCCAAGTGCATGAGTCAGCATTTGGTAAGCTGTGCATCATGAGAAGCCTGATGCAACAGGCACAGTGGATGTGACAAGCCAGGTATACATAATATAATAATAAATTTTTATTTATAGCCTGCCCCTCTGCAGAGCAATCGAGGTGGGTTACAGCATTATAAAATATACAGCATTATAAAATATACAGGTATGCATCATGGGAGGTCTAATGCAACAGTCCTGATGCAATGGGCACTGGGATGAAACCAGCCAGGTT